AAAAAAAAAAAAAAAAGAATAGTATCATTTAGACATGTGGATTGCTCCAAATAAGACAACAAATAGAGAGCTTTGAGTCCTTGGTATTAATTTGGACATTTAAACAATTGAGGCAGTATAGATGTGGCAGTTGGCAGGCCCTGTTTTTTTTTAAAGTTTAGTGCCAACAAGTTCAGTGAGACTCCTCCTACCCTTAGTGGTTAAGGAAATAATCTCTTTTCATAAGAACAGTTCTAAAAATAAGGGAAAATTGGCTGAAAATTCAGAGCACATTGTATAATTCAGTATTTCCATAGTTTGGAAAATTTAGCAAAGTCTCAGGAAAAGATCTGAATTGTGGAATGTTAGAATTGTGGGGATGCTGTAGTTGCATACTGTAACTTCATCGATACTTTTAAAACAAAAATTTCCTGTGTTTTTTTGTTTACACTCTTTGATATTAATTGCATTTTGTTTCTCCAGGATCTGAAAAAACAAGAGAAAGTATACCATATTTTATCATTTAAAACAATGTAACATATAAGGAAGAATGAATGTGCTCAGTGCATGTTTTTCCTCTTATATCTTAAGGAAGAGAGAGAAAATCCTTCGAAACGAAGTAGAATTGAACGTGATATAGATAATAATTTGATCACATCAACACCAAGAGCAGGAGAAAAGCCTAACAAACAGATATCTCGAGTAAGACGGAAAAGTCAAGTAAATGGAGGTTTGTTAATATTTAGATACTGTTTTTCCTAGGAGAAGCAGAGATCTCACTAACGTTCTTTATCTGTTTTTAAAAATCTGTGATGAGTGATTATTGCCTTATTTTTGTAATATTTTATATTCAGTATTTGTAGCATGAAGTGAAATAAAAATTTGTCTTCCAAAAACATTTGGAGTAAAAATAAAGACACAGTAACTATTTAACATAAATATATAAACAGATTGGGCTGTAGTTGTATAGCTCAGTGGTTTAAAGCATTTGCCTATAGTGCATGGAGCCCTGAGTTTAAATCCCAGCACATATATACATAGACACACACACACTGATCTATGGATCAACATTTTTTTAACCTCTAATAACTGCATTTCTTAGAGCAGTGATAATTGATACTTAATATGAGATATGTACAATACTTGTTTCTGGATCATGCTACTTGAGGGCTGAAAAGGTATAGTACTGAGGTCATTTAGTCCAATAGTTCTAAAGTAGGAGTGTAGTATTGTTCCTGTGAGATAGTTATCATTATCTAGAAACTTTTATAGTTGATACACCCTGTTGGAGGGGTTGCATAAGCATCTAGCAAATAGAAGTAAGGGGTGCTAGCAGGCATCCTACAATGCATAGTACAGACCATCACAGCAAAGAATTATCAGGGCCAGTACTTACTGAATACCTGAGGAGCTCCTCAGAGTCTATTAGATGAAAAACGTTAAGGACAAACAGAAAGCTAAACAGAACAATACTTCAGAGCATGGAGTTTTTGTTTGTTTGTTTGTTTTTGTTTTGTTTTGTTTTGTTTTGATACTGGGGATCAAACTCCAGTCGTTGGACTTCTAAGGCAACCTTCAGCACCACTGAGCTAGTTGGTACCACCCCGGCCCATGAAGTTATTTTTTAATTAAAGCTGTCTTCATAGGAGAGCAGTAACCTTGTGTTGTGTCCCCCATCGGTACAGTAATGTATTTTTATTACTTGAAGTGACTGGCTTGGTCAAAAAAGGAGACTGAGCTGGGGATTTAACTCAGTGGTTCTGCTGCCTGCCTTGCAAGTGCAAGGACCCGAGTTTGATCCCCAGTACCAAAAAAAAGGAGACTGAGATGGGCAAGGAGACAAGACAGGAGAGAAAAGAGAGAAAGAAACAAGTTTTGAAAATTTTAACAAAGAAAGAAAGAAATGTAGTCACCCAATTGATTTTATTTTTATATCCCCCCCTCAAAAGAAAAAAACTATGAGAATTGTTACCTACAAGATGCTAGACGTGGTGATGATACAGCCCTCTAATACTAACACATAAGGGGCTGATGCAGGAGGATCACCACAAGTTTAAGGCCAGCCTGAACTAGATAGTGAGACCTTGTCTCAAAAATTTTTTTACTGTACTTATAAGAAATTTATAAATAACTGATTAGTTTTCTTAACCTCTTGAAATGGCACCTTGGTATCCATGAGTTTTTTTGTTTGTGGAGGAGGTGGTGCTGGGGATTGAACTCAGGGCCCTACTCATACTAGGAAAGTGCACTACCATTGAGATATATCCCCAGCCCTCATAAGTAATTTTTGATTCTGCTATGTATAGTTTTTTCTTCGGTAGAGCTATGTTGCCTCTAGTCATATAACTGTCATTCCTTAGAAGTAGATATGAGGGGAAGTTTTATGACAGAGGCAGCACCTCCAAATGCAGACTGAAACAGAATTTTACATTCTGTTTTTGATACTGATAACTTGTTTGCTTGCTTATAAAGAATTTACTTTCTTTTATACTGTGTTGATTTGGAAACTTCCAGTGATTTTAAATGTAACTGTATGTTGGGAAAATTCAGTAAATGTTAGCCTTTCTAAATTATTACAAATACAGTAAGATCAAGTGATTTAGAATTGATTTATTTCATGATTTCTTTCCCTTTTTCTGGCAACAGGGTCTTGCTATATAGTTCAGGCTGACCTAGAACTCAGCAGTCCTTCTGCCTCAGCCTCCTGAGTGCTGAGATTACAGGTGTGTGCTGCCACACCTGGCTATTTCATGATCTCTTAGTAGCACTTCTGAACATTAACAATCTGTTTTCATGAAGTGGTTTTGGAGGTGCTTTAAAAGTCAATATTTACAACACATTTCTAAAAGTCAGTGTTTCATAGATCACAAAGTTTTTGTTTTTCTTCCTTAGAAGCTGGTAGTTATGAAATGACAAATCAACATGTGAAACAAAATGGGAAATTAGAAGATAATCCTTCCTCTGGCAGTCCTCCAAGGACAACACTGTTGGGGACCATATTTTCTCCCGTCTTCAACTTTTTTTCACCAGCAAATAAAAATGGTAAGTGTAAGTCCTTTTTATGTAGTCAAGTATTAACTAGAATTTGGGTTTTAAAGATTCAATTTTTCTGGGGTCTGGGGACCGTGCCTGCCTCATAAGCACAAGGTCCTGAATTCCATCCTGGGTACCAAAAAAAAAAAAAAAAAATCAGTTTTTCTAGTTTTTTCAAAGATCTTTTAAAATCTACTACATATTTTTCTTAGCAACTTAGATTTTTCTGTGTATAATTTCTTAAAAAATACACAATTCTGAAGCATTTTGAAAATGACTGAAATAGGTTATGTTTAATTCTGTTATAGTGAACTCTTCATTATCTGAAAAGCTAGATTGTAAATTGGGTTGGAAGGACAATTTTTATTTTTACTATCTTGGGATGAAATATTCAACTCTTTTTTTTGGGAGGGGTACTGAGGATCAAACTCAGGACCTTGCAGTTGCTAGGTAGGCGTGGTGCCACCCCAGCCCCAACATATAGTTTTTTTTTTTTAAATAATAATTATTTTTTATTGAGTTTATTGGTACAATTTAGGTCTATAATACAGTTACATTCATTAATGGGATCCTGTACCTTCACATGACCCCAGCATATAAAGTTTAAGAGAAACATTCAGTGTTTTTGATTGTTGGAATTGATTAAAAATCTTTAAAACTATAATTTTTTTTTAACCACCCAGCTTATCATCATTTGATTATCCCCCCCTAGGGATTTTTAATCTAGATAAATAGTAATTCACTTCATTTTACTTTTAGGTAAATTGTAAAACTTCCCTAATTCAGACGATTTAAGGTATTTTGAGACAGTTCTTGAGCACATGGAAAAGAATCACTAAATGGTTGTTGTTTGGTTACTTAAGTTCTAATCTTAATTGTGTTTCTGGATAATAGTGCAATTTTAATAAGACATAATGGTACAATGTAAAATCAGGATATTTTGAGGGAGTAAACACTGTAATATATATTAGCACGTGAAAGGACTATAGAGTCCTATAAGAGAAACAAAAAAAATAACTGCTTTTAATTGTTCAATCCTGTCTGTATCTCCTAGACATGTATGAACATATATTAATATCTTGTATAACTAGATGATAGTATATTGGAAATATTGGCATAAAGGAAAGAGAATAGATTTTGAAGTTAAACATGTTTTAAAATTCTGCTTTTGTGCTGGGGATGTAGCTCAGTGGCACCGCACCTTCCTGGCAAGTGTAAGGTCCTGAGTTTGACTTTTGGTACCAAAAAGTAAAATTCTACCTTTGCCACTGTTGAACCACATTACCTTTCACTACTTTAAATCCCAGTTCCTCTTAATCCATGAAATGGAATAATTAAATGTTAGGAGTGTTTTGAAGATTTCAATTTACACAACATATGTTGAACATCTGTAGTGTTCACCATCAGTCATTTGGGACTTAGAAATGAATAACAACACATGATCCTTGTCCTCAGGGAACTTACTTTTTATGTGGGATGGATGTGTGTCCCAGGTGTGGTGGCACACGCCTGTAATCCCAAGAAACTTAGAGGCTAAGGCAGAAGAATTTCAAAGCAAGATCATACTGGGCAATTTAGTGAGAAATCATGAAAGAAGCCAGGAGAGACTTCAGTTCATAGATGCCAGAGGAAGTGAAACTATCCAAGCCCAGGGTCAAAGACTGAATAAAAGAAAATGAGTTTTGAAAAGAGACAGCTGAGCTGCGTTCAGTGGCACTTGCCTCTAATCCTAGCACTTGGAAGGCTGAGGCAGGAAGATCATGATTTTAAAGCTCCTGTCTCGGTAAAGAGAAGAGAGGAGAAACAACTGAGCCTGATAATTAGAAAGTCATTGGTTTCTTTACTAGAATGAATTCAGAGGAGCACTTAGATTGGAAAGCCCAGTATCACTGAGTTAGGAAAATAAAATGAAGAGGAAGAAAAGAGACAGGACCTGGCGTGGCAGTGTATCTCTGTAATTCCACAAGTTTGATGCCAGCCTGAACAACATAGCAAGACTCTGTCTCAAAAAAATAAGAGGAAGAGACAACAGTAGATAAGTTTTATGAAGTTGGGTATGAAGGAAGACTAGAGAAATCAGACTCTAGGGATAGTTTTTCTGCCTTAGGAAAGAAAACAAAGAGAAGATTTCTAGAGACTGTTGCCAGAGTTGGGATTGAAAGAACATTAAAAGTATTTAAATTGAAACAGGACAGGTTTTGGGTTGCTTTTTTTGTGATGCAGAGGAAGCAGTAAAGGTGTGAACAGAAATATGTTTGGAGAAGGAGGAGTTGATGTTTGTTTGATAGTTACAACGTTTTCTTTGAGAAAAGGAGCTTATTTCATTTACTGAGGTAGTCCTGGTGGCATGGTCTTGAAGAGAATAGTGAATGTTTAGAATGGTTGCTCTAGGAAATAAGTAAAGGAGCTGAAGAGACACACACAGAAGTGTTGAGCAGCATGCCATAGGCCTCGTTTACATGGGAGGGTTTGCAGGAGGATCGCTTGAGTTGGAGACCAGCCTGGGCTGCATAGTGAGTTCCAGGTCAGTCTCAACCACATAGTGAGACCCCTATCTCAAAAAACAAAACAAAACAAAAAAGATGGGAGGGTCTTATCTGGAGGATTTTTCCAGTCTTTTTAATTGTATTGTCCTTTAGTAGCCTGAGAAGCCTGTTGGTTGAATAGATTGAAAAGGGATTTCTTGTTATGTGGGGTGGTGCATCAGTAATCGCAGCATTCAGGAGGCTGAAGCAGGAGGATTGCTGTGAGGCAGGAATACATAGCATGATCGTATCTCAAGGAAAAAAAGGAGCTCTCGTCAGAGGAAAAATAAGCGAGCAAGATGCTGAGGGTGTCAGTTTGAGAGTGGATCAAGTGATGCACTATGAAATCTAGGTGGGAAATGCAGGGAAGAGATCACTGGAGGATGTGTTTAGAATAAAGAGACTGACCTTTATCAATCTTGAAGATCAGATATAGTGGGGTATAACAGGTAATTGAAAGTTAGCAGGTTAATATAATCTATAATAATCGTTATATTTCAGAGGTGAATACTTAGTGTTCATTCATGTCCAGTTATAACCATAGTAACACCTGCTAAAAGGCAGTATGAATGAAGATAGTTGGAGCTGAAGAGGGCAATAACTTTGAGGATTAGTTGCTGAAATCACCTGTAATAACAAAAAATACTGTATCAAATAGAAAAGTAAACCTGAGCATTTGTGATGGAGGATTCTGGCAGTATAGATGTCTGCAGGGAAGAGGAGTATGGAATTGTTTAGCTATATGACATCAGCTCAAAAGAACAGGCTTTTTTGCATATTAATAGAAAAGCAGTCGTCTGGCAGCAGCAGTGGGGATAAATGAGTTTTGGTTTAATTATTATATTGAATATAGAATAATGACCATCAAGGGGGAGGATATCAGGAAAAGAGATTTTTAAGAGATTAAATTTGAAGTTGAAAATATTGGGGGTTGTTATGACTTTTGAGATTCTAAAATCCTTCCTAGGTGAAGAATTGGATAACTTCATTCTTTATTATTAAGGTGGGATTTTGTTGATCAATTATTCTTTTGTCTTTTAATAAAAAAGGTTTTCACTATTAAGAGAACATTTAGCTCATTCTTGGATAACTACCTCTGGTAGAAAAATTACAATTGCCCGCATAGCTAGAGTGTTTAGTATTTGTATGAAAGGATAGGGAGCTGTTTGGGGGTAATACAGTACCTATCATAAACTATGTCTTTAATGCTTTAGTTGCTTTAATGAAAAGAAGTTATAAGACGTGGTTGTTACTTGACTATAAATGTTTATGAACTACTTGAAAACTTAAAAACTGTATATTACTTTACCTTATAATAATTTTTCTCATTGTTTGAAATGTCTTTAAAAATACACAAAATGGTATCCTTAGCTTTGTTCTTTTGTGAATTATCCACTTAAATAAATTGTATAGTGGTAATTTAATTAAGTTTTTCTAAGTATTAAGAGTTTTTAAGTGATGATAGTATACTAAATGATGATTTCAGGAACATCAGGATCAGATTCCCCAGGACAAGCTGTGGAAGCTGAAGAGATAGTAAAACAACTTGATATGGAACAAGTGGATGAGATCACTACCAGTACTACTACATCAACCAATGGAGCAGCTCACTCAGCTCAAGCAGTTCCAGTGAGGACATCGATAAACAATGGGTTAGAAGAAGCAGAGGAAACAGTTAATCGTGATATCCCTCACCTTACAGGTAAAAAACAATTCCTTTTTAAAAAATGTATTATCCCTATCTTCACAGATTAAATGCTTAAGTTTTTGTTTCTTGAAGTTTAAAAAAAATTGAAACACAACGTTGTCCCATATATCCAAGTCATTATTTGCACCTGTAGGTCTGAGGTCCCTACCTAGAGGTAGTCTCATACCTTCAGATTTGCTTCATATTACCGCCAACCTTGGAGACTTATATTCCTAGATCTCTTCCTGTAGCTCATTGTTGCGCCCTAACCATGGATTTTTAAAAAGCCCTGACATAATTATTGTGTTCCTGGCCAGTTGACATTGAAATGTGGAAACATACAAGATCAAGAATTTATTATCTCTGAGAGTTGTGGGTACAAAAAGTACAAGATGAAATCTGCTGGGCATGGAGCACATACCTATAATCCTGGCACTCTGGAAGCTGAAGCAGAAAGATCGCCTCAGGTTCAAGGCCAGCCTGGGCTACATAGTGAGTTTAAGTCCTTGTCTCATAGCAGCCTTGTCTCAAAAAACAAAACAACAACAAAAAATGTGTTCCATTCTTCTTCTTCTTTTTGTTTGTTTTTTTTTTTTGTTTTTTTTGTTTTTTTTTTTTCTTTTTCTTTTTCTTTTTCTTTTTCTTTTTCTTTTTCTTTTTCTTTTTCTTTCTTTTTCTTTTTCTTTTTCTGGTATCAGGGATCAAATTCAGAACCTTGTGTTTGAGAGTCAGGCATGGTGCCATTGAGCTAAGTCCCCGGCTCTCCATTCTTAAAAGTGAAATAAAACTAAGGATAGGCCATCTTCCTCTGAACTAATTTCATCTTAGATTCCTCTCTCTTCCCCTCTGTTCCCCTCCGCTCTTTTTTTTGAGGCAAGGTCTCACTATGTAGCCCAGGCTGGCCTTGAACTAAGGGCAATCCTCCTGCTGTGGCCTCTCCAGTGCTGGGATTATAGGTGTGTTCCACCATGCCATTCCTATATTTGTTTTCTGTTCCTTATGGTACCATGTACTGATTAAAAAACATGATTGGGTCCGAGGAAGTACAATAATATATGTATTTCTGAATATAAAAGAGAAGCCGAGCGTGGTGGCCCATGCCTGTAGTCCCAGCACTTGGGAGGCTGAGGCAGGAGGATTGCTTTGAGTTCAGTACCAATCTGGTCTACACAGTGAATTCCAGGTCAGTCTCAACTACATAGTGAGATCCTGTCTCAAAAATAAATAAATAAAAAGAGAGAAACTTTTTTGTTTGTTTGTTTTTGAGACAGGGTCTTGCTTTGTAGTTTAGACTGCTATGTATGTATCCCAGGCTATGTATCCCTCAAACTCCGGGATCCTCCTGCCTCTGCCTCTAGAGTGTTGGGATTGCAGGCGCGCACTACTACGTCCAGCTGAAACATATTTTAAATAACTGAAACAGCAGTAAACATTTTAAAGAAAAAAATATATGCTGCACACACACACACACACACACACACACACAGTATAACCCAATAATATTGTGAAGAGAAAAACAGGAAAGATATATTTTAAATTCATTAAGTAAAAGATTCTTTGATGTTAAGCACAAAATTTAATAATACTGAATCTTACAAGCAGATCAACAAGATTATAAATAGGTAACTCATGTTTTCATGGGTAAAACTTGAAAATTGACCTGTCGTTTTATGTTGATTACTTTGCCCAGGGTTGTGAAGCTAATAATGAATGGTGAAGTATACAGTTCAGGGCTCTTGGCTTTTTGTTTGATATCTGTTCTGTTCTCCTGCTGTCTTAGTGTTTCTTTTTTCTAACAGCTGTGAAGGAGAAAGTATTTCTGTAACTTTTGTGGTCTCTAGAGGAGAAGACTATAGTAGACTCATTCATTCCCCTAACATGAGTACATATTTTTTTTGTGTGTGATGGAAATTATTGACACAAATGAGGATAAAATGATTACTTTATAGTGTGGTGAGCACTGTTGAAAGTAAGTGAGCAAAGTGACACAGTGGCCCATTGCAGCTACTCTGGGATGGTAAGATTAACAGAGGTGACATTGATCATAAGAGATAAATACAAAAATAAACTAAGAAAAGATAAAAATGAATGCAAAAGCACAACTTTTTCCTAACTTTGATAATGTTGTCAAAGAGAACAGGAAGGCTAGGAGGCCGGCTCTGCCATTTACTTAGCTTTAAAATGGTGATGAGCTGGGTATGGTGGTGCAAGCCAGTAGTCCTGGGTCCTCAGGAAATGGAGGTGGGGGAATCACTGAGTCCGAGGAGTTTAAGATCGTCCTGTTCAACATAATGAGAAAATTAAATAAATAAAATACAAGCTTTTGAAGGTTAAATATGATGAAATATGAAAAATAATTTGTAAGAAGGCTGGGGATTTAGCTCAGCGGTTCGGTGGCCTGCCTTGAATCCCCCGGTACCACAAAAAAAAAAAAAGTAAGAACTCAATAAATATTCTTTTCTTTCTCTAAAATTATTGGAATTTGTGTTTTTGTTGTTTATTTTTTTGTGTGTGTGTGGTACCAGGGATTGAACTCGGGTCCTTGCGCTTGCAAGGCAGGCCACCAAACCGCTGAGCTAAATACCCAGCCAGCCTGAAGTTACAGGAATTTGAAACAGTAAAGTAGTTGGAAGATATCTTGATGTTAATGAACCACTATAGGTATATAGATAGATTAATAAAAATTTTGCATTACATCCGATGTCATTCATTAGACATACATACTAGATGACCTAGTCTAAGATGGTATAAACATATAATTGCAAAAAGGATCACTTTTTGTCTGTAAAGATTATTATGCACCAACATTCTGTTTCTATAGAATGATTACAGTAATTTCATCATTCCACTCTAAACTTTGTATCTCTGACACATATTACTAGCCTAGCTTAAGGAGTCTTCATCCTCTCCTATTTAAGTTATAATTATTGTTTTAGAAAATTCTCAGCATATATCTAGAGTGTTATCAGTTGATGTAGTCTTAGCTTAAACAGAATGAATTATATGGCATGGAATATAGGTTTACCTCTTTGTTTTTGATCTTTTGAGAGAGTCTCACTGTGTTCTTCAGGCTGGACTTGACCTCACTATGTAGTATATAGCCCAGGCTGGCCTAAAATTCACTCATGCTGATCCCTCCCCCTTACACTCCCCAGTGCTAGTATTGCCAGTGTATGCCATCACACTCACCTTAGAATTGCCTCTTGATTAAAGTTGCTTGCAATTTAGAAATAGGGCCAGGGATTTAGCTCAGCGGTTCGGCAGCCTGCCTTGCAAGCCCAAGGACCCGAGTTCAATCCCTGGTACCAAAAAGAAAAAAAAAAGTTGCTTGCAATTTAGAAATAAATTTAAAGCAGCATTTCTTTTGTTTTGTTTGTTTGGTTTTGGTTTTGGTTTTTTGAGACAGGGTCTCACTATGTAGTTGAGACTGAACTGGAACTCACTATGTAGCCCAGACTGGTCTCACACTCACAGCGATCCTCCTGCCTCAGCTTCCTGCGTGCTGGGATTACAGGCAAGTGCCACCATGCCTGGTTTAAAGCAGCATTTCTTTATAAGAAAGTTGTTTTTGTCCTCCTGGGACTTGAACCAAAGGCCTTGCACATTCTAAGCCAGTCATCTACTGCTGAGCTACATCCTCAGCATAGCCAGACAGAAGAATTTCTTAACTGGTAAAGATCATAGATAGCCTTGAAACTCCTGGGAAAATGTACATACATTTTTTTCATAAGCCTTCAGTGGGGTTTATGAGCTTTTAAAACAATGTATCTTGACTGATACATAAAAACAAAAATCATGTATGTTAATAAGGTGTATCCATGGGCTGTGGATTTATTTAGCTCAGTGGTTCTGCCGCCTGCCTTGCAAGCACAAGGACCCGAGTTTGATCCCCGGTACCAAAAAAAAAAAAAAAAAAAAAAGGTGTATCCTATAGTGATCAGTGCATACATACACTGTAATTTTTTTAAATGAGGTTAAACATTTATCTCTGGGCATTTCTCCTTAGTAAAGAAAATACTCAGAATCCTTTCTTCTAGCCGTTTGAAGTGTACAGCACATTGTTGTTACCGGTTAAGTAGCACCTCAGAACTCCTTGCTTCTAACTGTAGCTTGGCACTCACTCATCAGCTTCTTTCCCTTCACTCCCACCAGGCTCTGGTAACCACCATTAATGAAATGAACTTTTTAAGATTTTGAATATGGGTGAGATCATATATTACAAGTCTTTTTGTACATGGCTTGTTTCACTTAACCTAATGATCTCAAGTTCCATCCATGTTGTTGCAGATGACAGAATAATAGACTTGTTTTGTTTTAATTTGTTGGTGCTAGGGATCAAACCCAGGGCCTTGTATTTGCTAAGCAAGTTGTCTACTGCTGAACTACATCCCAGTCCCTTAGTGGACTCATAAAAACTGTTCTAGGGCCAGGGAGTTAGCTCAGTGGTTCTGCTGCCTGCCTTGCAAGTGCAAGGACCCAAGTTCGATCCCTGGTACCCCCCCGCCCAAGAAAACCTATTCTAATGGATCTTAGAACTTAAAACCATATTTGAATCTGTTGTCAGCATATATTCATTTGACAGCCTATATGTGTAAGGTGTAGTACTGCTACAAGAGCACCATAAAATCTTTATAGTTAAAAAAAAATCTTAACTGGGCCTGGTGGTGCATGCCTGCAATCCCAGCGCTCAGGAGGCTAAGGCAGGAGCATCACTGAGAATTGGAGGCCAGCCTGGACAACACAGGGAGACCTTGTCTCAAAAACACCCAAATAAAGAAACAAAACAAAATCTTTGTAGTTACAAATATAAACCCTATTCAGATAGAAATTAAATTTTTGTGCTCCCCCCCCCATACTGGGGATCGAACTCAGGACCTTGTACTTGTGAGGCAGGCATAGTGTCCCTGAGCTGAATCCTCAGCCCCTGCAATTAAATTTTTGTGGAGTATTATTTTTTATTAGCTATTAAGTTTTCTTTTAGCTGATAGGAATCTTCATCCTAGTCGCTGTGTAGTTTGCCATTTTGTTTGCAGGAGTAATTTTTTCCTTTGGATATAGAGTTATTTCTCTCTGTAACTAAATTTGCTTTTAAATGCTATTTATGTATTATTTCTGTTTTTAACCTAAGATACATAGAACCTACAAAAGATCTTTTACAGAAACAGTAGAAATACATACTTCATGATAAGCACAGATTAAAAGTTAACATTTGGTCTTGAATGTGATCCCTGGTACAAAAAAAAAAAGGTAACATTTTGCTTTCACTTTATTAAATAGCACCAGTGACTCCAGAGAGTGGTTATTCATCAGCCCATGCAGAGGCCACCTATGAGGAAGACTGGGAAGTATTTGACCCGTGAGTTGTTTCTGTGGTTTAAAATTTTTTTTCTTCCTTTCCTTAATATTTCAAATTTGTAATGATACAAAAAACGATGTGTATTCAGCAGAAAGCTTACTTTGAATTTTGAATTTTTCCTGGGCTAGCAATATGTGGTAAGATACTTTTGTGCAGTGCTGGACCAGCAGCAGTTCCCAGTCAGCCATGTGATCAGGAAGAGAAATAAACAATACCCTACTTGTCATCTATTGCTAATTATTGGTATTAGGTAGGTCAGGTATATTAAATGCATTCTCAACTTAAGATATTTTAAATTTAAGATGGGTTTACCAGAAGGTAGAACATGTGACCTATAGGAAATTAATACTTCTACTGTGTTATGGAGACATCAGTTTGCATGTTCCCACTTTTGCTTACATATTTGGTAAGTTTAGTTTACTTAGTTAAATATGCTTTACTTAAACATTTTTAAACAGGCTGAATTTAGTGTTATGCTTTATAAAGAAATGTTAAAATTTTCATAAAATTTGATTTATAGCTATTATTTCATCAAACATGTTCCACCACTGACAGAAGAACAACTAAATAGGAAACCTGCTCTTCCATTGAAAACAAGAAGCACACCAGAATTCTCCCTAGTTTTAGATCTGGTAAGTGTATTATCTATAGCAGCAGAAAGAAGAGGAAGTCTCTTTTAAAGTAACAGTTTAGAATAACTAAAAGAGTTGGGCATGGTGGCACACACCTATAATCCCAGCAGACAGAAGGCTGAAGTAGGAGGGTCACCATGAGTTGAGGCCAGGCTGGGCTACATAGAAAGTTCAAGGCCATCCTCAACTCCTTAGTTGAGACCCTGTCTCTCTCTCTCTCTCTCTCTCTCTCTCTCTCTCTCTCTCTCTCTCTCACACACACACACACACACACACACACACAAAAAGAATGTAGAGCTAATGCAGTGGTATACAGCATTGAGGGACACTTAGGCAGGAGGACATCAGTTTTGAGTCCCACCTGGGCAATTTAATGTGACTTTGTCTCAAAATAACAAAAAGGCTTAGGAATACAGCTCAGTGGTATAGTGCCCCTGGGTTCAGTCTCTGGGATAGGGCAAAAATAGGAATATGAATGAATGAGTAGCCATCATACTTATAATATGTCACATAACTATAATGACACATACCTATAATCCAAAAGTTCAAGCTCAGCCTAGGCCACTTAGCAAGAGCCTGTCTCAAAATTTAAAAAATTTAAAAGGGTTAAGGATTTAGCTGAGTTCAACAGTCTTGTGTTTAATTCCCCAGTACCACACACACAAAATCTGTCACAATATTAATGGAAGCCTTGCTTTTGTTTTTAAGCATTTATGACTTGAGAAATATGGATATTTGCATTTAACAAGTCTTATTTTCTTATTCTCGCTTGTTTGTTTGTTTTTGTTTTTTTGAGACAGGGTCTCACTATGTAGGTGAGACTGACCTGGAACTCACTATGTAGCCCAGGCTGCTCTCGAACTCACAGTGATCCTCCTGCTTTAGCCTCCCGAGTGCTGGGATTACAGGCATGCACCACCACGCCCAGCTTCTTCTTTTTTTTTTTTAATACTGGGAATCAAACTCAGGACCTTGTGCTTGTGAGGAATCCATGGTGCCAGTGAGCTAAATCCCTGGCCCATTTTTTAATGCTCTTAATGAGAAAACAGGATTTGATAATAAAAAATAAATTTTCAAGCTGGGTTGCTGGTGCATGCCTATCCTATAATCCCAGCACTCGGGAGGCTAAGGCAGGAGGATCACTGTTAGTTCAAGACCAGCCTGGGCCATAGTGAGTTCCAGGTCAGTCTCAACTACATAGTGAGACCCTGACTCAAAAAAACAGAAAAAAAAAAAAATTCATTGAATGCTATTTAAACAATACAGCGAAAGGTATTCATGAGATACTGGAACATCTATTCTCCTTTGTAAGATTCTTTAATGCGAAGCTGAAGATAAGGAATTATGTGAATAGAATATATGTGTATGTGTGTGTATACACACACACACACACACACACACACACATATGTATGTATGAATGAATGACTGGTTTGTGCATATGAATGAATGATTCTAAACTTCTGTTTGCTAAGCATAAAAAATATGTGTGATTTTAATAGAAAGTCGGCAGTTGCAGAGCTCAGAGCAGTGGTTCTCAAATTTGAGAATACATCAGAATCACCTGAATAGCTTAACCAAAGATTGTTGAACTCCATTCCCACCAAGTTTATTATCAGAAATGGAGCTGGAGAACTTCATTTGCATTTCTGATTAGTTCCCAGATGATGATGATGCTGTTTATTGGTCCAGGAACTACTGCTACATTTGAGAACAAGTGACTCCTATCATAAATCGCTATACCACATGTAATATATGAATATAAAATTCTACATGTGATTGGGTGCTTTAATGTTGTTTGTAATCATGATTACATAAAATTATTTATGACATTTCTTTTAATATAGTCTCATTCAACATATTTTTTTTTATTTTAAGGATGAAACACTAGTGCACTGTAGTCTAAATGAGCTAGAAGATGCAGCACTTACTTTTCCAGTCCTTTTCCAAGATGTCATATATCAGGTAATTTTAAAAATTTTAACTTGACATTTGGCCTGTTAGGTCACATTTTAAGCCAAAAAACAAAAATAACTTTAATGTGTTATTCAGTGTATTTTTCTGTAGATTTCCTAATGGATTTCATCAGTCTTTTAATGGTCTGTTAACACAAAGTAGCATTCATGCTAGATAGTTACATAAAATATTAATTTGTTAACAAAGAACACAAACTTTTTTTATCCAGAGATATCTGTTAGTTTCATAATCTGTTTGCCAGCAGATGGAGGCAGGAACACTGACATACATCCTTAAGAGGAGCATGCCAGGTTAACACCTGGAGTTGTCCCCCTACCCCATCCCCCAAATGTAATTAATATAAAGAAAACTCATTCCTTCTTGGTCAGTTTTATTCCTGGTAGCAATACAATCTGTAAAGTTAATAGGCCTAATTTATATTAAGCACAAAATTCTAGGCTATTCTAGTTACTGCTTTACCTAAAAAGTTTGGTATTTCTCTTATCTGTGTGATATGCAGGGAACCTTGCAGACTATATACTCAAGATTTCATTGTGGGTTATATTTGTTGGCCATAGATTTTACTTTAAGATCTCTTTGTCTTAAGATTGTATTAAGTGAGTACACTTTGAAAAGTACTTTTCTGTGTTGGCTGTTGTGTATTTAATTAGTATTATATTCATATGTACCAGTTGTAGAAAGATTGGGGAGGGGTAGAGAATTTGTTGTTTCTCACAAGGAAGCTGACTTAAAGATTAGCTACATAGAAGCACAAAGCATTTACTGTGTGTATACTTAAAAGGTTTTATGATTGTATATGTACTCTTTATAGGCAATTAGAATGTGATTATAGTTTTCTAGGCAGATTTTCGTTGCTGTCTCATAGGAATTAAAAATTTTGGAGTTAAGTAGAAGTTTGTGCCTCAGGGCTACTTTACCAAATACTTTGTCTAGTGATGAGTCATAAGAATATTTACTTTAGCAGTAACTCAGTTCTAATTTAACCTAAATAGGAATTAAAAGCATAGTAATATCTGAATACTATTATTCACCTCCCTTCTATGTAAACTAATTTTAGTCAGTATAATCAGGATCAGCAAAATATATATATACAGGATTTTAAGATGTTTCTGTTTATTTGGTTCAAGGCAATTCTTTTTTCTTAATAAGACACTCTTTACCCCATAGGTTATTCATGTTTATTGCACATCAGAGACAGTTTTTTGGCAAATGTAAATAGTATAACTAACTTATTTTTCTCTGTTTAGCTCAGTAAGCTACTTGGTGTTTTGTTTGTTATTTTTTGGGGGGGACGATAGTGTTTGAAAACAGTGGCTCTAGGGCCTTGAGTTTGGAAAGGAAGCTACTTGAAAAATATAGGCAAATAATGATTTTTAGATGACTTCTTAAGCTTCCAAATTTGAAATTAATTTCTTACAGATGGTTTTCGGTCTGTTTATGTAATTTTTAATAGTGATGTAAGGAACCTGGAAAGTAAATTTGATTCAATAGGACTGTAAAATTGAATCTTTTTTTATTGCTCCCACCATTTCTGCTTTAACTCTTATCTTTTTAAAAGTTCTTATTATTTTAATGTGGATCTGGATAGTTGTCTTATTTTGAAGAATAGGCTTATAGCAGTACATATTGACTAATACTTTATACTGTACCTACCTCTAGAATTCTAAAAACTTAATATATTCTGTATTTTGAAACTGAAACTGAAAATGACCAGAAAATTTGAATCTTAGAAACTATGGAGATGGTCTATTTTAATACTATAACTGACTTACTACATCAAGGACAGAGTTTAGTTCACTTTCAGTAAATTTTTGACTATGTCCATAGTTAATATTGAGTATATTCCCTTGGATTTCTGGTTTTTGGCATAGCCAGACATTCTGTCTGCTTTTTAAAAAATTACTGAAGAAATCTTTGGGTTAGGGTTCCCCTAGTTTTTTCAGACCAGCAAGCTCCCTTTAAACAGGGAATGATGTCTTTTAAACTTTCAGTGGTGTTGTCTCCATCTACTGGCAAAGAAGAAATATACACAAGGGTCTGAGATGATCTAAGAGATTTTGGAGAAACCACATTATTAGGTAAGATGTAACTTACATATTTAACCACTATACTGTAATGTGGCCCACTTAAAGGTAGAAACCTGTAAAATACTGTATATACTCTTTAAAATTTTGAGGTAAAATTTACTTGATATGAAACTATTTTTCAGTGAATATCTATATATTAGTACATATATCAGTTCCATAGTATTATATTCTTTCTCTTCTCTTCTCCCCACCCCTATCTTTCTTTTTCTGTTAAGATAGGATCAGATTTTTTTTATCTGAATCAAGGCCGGATGAGACTGTTGGTTGTTTTTGTAAGTCTGTTATAGTTGACCCATATCTAATTTTAATTCTACGTATTATTTCTTCCATTTGAAAATAATTTAAAGGGTAATTGTAGTAAATATATCTTAACAGTCTTCTGTATCCAGAGTTGGCAGACTTGGCATAAAGGGCCAGTTATAAATATTTGAGGTTTTGTGGTCTTTGTTCTAGTACTTTTTCTGCCATTGTAATATAAAAGTAGCCATAAATGAAAAAGCATGTTTGTGTTCTAGTAAAACTTCATTTACAGAAATAAGTAGAGGGTGGATTTGGCTAGTAGGCTATAGTTTGCTGATGCATGGTCTAATAATTATGAGAGTATATACAGTAAATTTACATATTCTAAGTGGAAGCAAGTAATCAAATGCTCATCAAAATTTTTGTTACCATTTATGGAAAAGTTAAGTTAGGTCCACAGTAATCTGGTTGTGAGCTTTCCTAGTTTTTGCCCCCCAGATCAAAGCATAGGGAAACTTGAGGTGGTCACTACTCACATTTAAATATTGCCTGACTTCATGATACATACTCTTTATTTGATTGATAAGTAGGAATAAATTTGATTAATGAAAGTGTTGGAATTTTTGAGCAGGTAGATTACTGAAGTCTAAATTTAGTAATATTTGAATTTAATTTCATTAGGGAATAAAATATGTTAAAATCCATCTCAAAAATTATTGTACTAATACCACATGGAGTAAACAGGTTACAGTTTCTTGTGTATGGATACAATCATTTGAATGAAGAACTGACTTTAAAGTAGGGTATGGCACTCACAGAGGCAAAAATGTATAGATTTTTCATTGAATTGGCGTTTTCTTTAGATTTTTTTTCCCTAAAAATTATTATGTAAGTAGTTATTGGGGAAACATTGATTCATGAAATGGTAAAAATAGATTTGATATCCAGATAAACAAGTGCATGTTCACTTCCAGTGCACATGTTTAATCTGTATATTTAGTTTATATTGACACATTTTCAGGAAATCCATCTCATGGTGTTACTCAGTTAAGAGGTCTCCACTGTATTTAGTTTCTGTTCCTGCAGATGCACCAATTCAAGACTGTAGGTCATCTCACTCCCTCTTCCATCCAGAAGATGACTACTATCCACAAGCAGGACTGAATCAAAAGACATTTTTCACTTAGCCCTTGAGCTGAAACACCTCCTCGATGACCTTCCTCTATCTCCATCAAGAACTGGAGCTCAGTTTTTTGAAGATGTAATAGAGCTACTCAGCCCAAATGTGGCTGTTTGAAGACAAAAAGAAGATACCTCATATGTTTCACCACAGTGCAGCCAAACGTAACTGTGTTGTCCAACTCCTCAATTTTGTAAAGTATGGCAAGGGAATGTTGAGTTTTTGATTGTTCACCAGTAAGACTTTAGCCAGTCAGCGGCTTTCTGAAATCAGTAAAATCAACAGACCTTGGGTCAGCTGTCCAGAAATCAGATTGTGGTAAGCACTTGAGAGAGATAGGATCCTATAGGGAGCTACTTGTACAGGATACTTTGTTTTATTGTAGAGATTCCTTTTATGGGAAAAGTTGGGAGTGGGAGGGAGATGGGTTCTCCATGGTTAGCAAAGTTCATCCTTTTCCTGTTATAGTTTGTTTCTTGCAAATCTTATAGCTTAGGATAATGTTTATACTACAAAACAAGAGAATTAGAGGTTCAGTGGCTTCTGTATTTTCTACAAACTTTCCTAGAAAAGTTAACTTTATTTGCTCCATGAAAAAAATCACTTAAGTGAACAATTTTATACTAAAAAGTTGTTTTCTCTTTCCCCAAATTCTGACATATTACCTAACAAGAAACATTTTTAATTATTGAGTTTCAATCAAACATAATTTTGTTGTACAAAAGTAGTATGTGTATTTGTACTTTAAAAATACATTTTTGGCCGGGTGTGGTGGTGCATGCCTGTAATCCCAGCACTCGGGAGGCTGAGGCAAGAGGATCGCTGTGAGTTCGAGACCAGCCTGGGCTACACAGTTCCAGGTCAGTCTCAACTACATAGTGAGACCCTGTCTCCAAAAACAAAAACAAAAAAAAATTTGGGCTAGTTTAGTTAGTAGGGGTCAATATTTTGATAATTGCAAGTAATACTTAAAATACAGAGTAATTTTAGAGTAATTTTCCAGCCCTTATTAATAAGTATAATCATCATTATTTCTTAGAATTAAAAAAAGAAAGGCACAGATGAACTTATAGATCTTTCCTTCACAAAAATAAGAAAATGTATTTCATGGGACATTCCTTGTCTTAAAATATGTCTTTCAAAAATTAGGAGCCAGGGATATAGCTCAGTGGTTCTGCCACCTGCCTTGCAAGCACAAGGTCCTGAGTTTGATCCCGGTACCAAAAAACAAAACAAAACAACAATAAAACAAAATATAGGAGCAGTTGACCAGGCATTTAAATCAGTGGTTCCACTGCCTGCCTCACAGGTGCAGGGTCCCAAGCTCAAGCCCCAGTACCAAAAAACAAAACAAAAATTAGGAACAGTTTATTAAGAAAATATACTGTATACAATATTCTTGATTAATAGCCAAAAGTACATCTAAGAGGTGGCAGTTGGTTGCTAAAACTAATTAAATTGAAGGCTTCATTCACTTTGAA